AGAAAATAGTTCAACTAGACAATGCCAACCGTTTCACATGAATTGGTCAGGAGGTCGCCTGCCCAATGTCTTCCCTCCCACCTGCTCTGATACTGAGGAAATTACAGTAGAGGAGAATGGTAGGCTTGGGGGCATACATGAGCCCACATCATGAGAATCATATTTGAGAGTATTTGTGTTCTTGGCCTCATGTTCTGTGAAACCTCCCCCTCTAGAGAACTTCCCTAAAGCTATGCATTCCCTTCATTTCTAATTCCCTTGCATGAAAAAATCAGGAAAAAAAAAGCTTTTTAGTGAACTGTTTCCACAAGTATGTCCTCTTACTAGGGTTATTATACCAACCAAAATGTTCTTACTATAAGTATTTTTTTTAAAAAAAAATTTCAGTGTAATCTTTAAAAAAGAGACAGAGATGGGCTATGATTTATTTGATTATCTGAAAGGAGTTGGGGCGAGGGGTGCTAAGCCACCGTAAACTAAAAAGCAGCAGTTGAGGCTCTGGGTCTTGGATGAGAGGTGATAAATCTTATCCTATTTCCCAGTCTTCTCTGGGTTAGTCATTTCTCTCTCCCGTGCTATACCCTATTCTTACAGCAGTGTACTTGGTTCCATGAAGACCCCAAATAAATCTCTCCCCTCCCACAGAGCTGCTCCAGCATCCAGGCACCACACACAGCTCTAGACAGTAAGTAGGAGTATGACAGAAACCAATGCAGCCTTACACGGGGGAGGGTGGAGACACACAGTGACCTCACTCTTCTCCCAGACACTAAGGAATCCTGAGTTTTGTCCTTGAAACCCTCTTTTCTTTGATTCAAGGGCACCAAACATCCAGCAGAGTACAGTGGCCCTAGGAAAACGTAGATCTAAATGTTTTCAAGGTCTCATTCATGCATACACAGGCAGCTCCCTAAGCCTCCTGTAATCTACCTTGTGGGCTTGAAGTCATGCTTTCTTGACAAAACTACCTTGGCTTTCCTTTCTCTGAGGCATCTATCCCTAGCCCAGTGGACCCCAGGCCTTCTCACTCACAGAGACAAATAACTTTCCCAGAATGAGACGGCTCTGTGATTTCCAGAATGAGTTCCAAAGCCCCAATCTGAGCCTCTCCTCAAACCCTCACATACAGTAATAAGCTGGATGGTGGATGAACCAAAGAGAGGAGAGAGACAGGATCTGCCCAGGCTAACACCTCTAAAAGGCTAACTGACACCTAGTGAGGCCACCTGACTACTTAGAATTCATCACTGCAAGTTACCCTCTGTAAGAGCAAGGCATTCTTTCTTCTGAGAACATTTAGCGAGTGTACTCTCAGAGTCTTCTCTGAAGATAAAGACAGCAATAAATCTCAATAGTCAGGAATCTGACAATAGTTGGGAAGGGCTAGGTTTAATCATCTCTGAGCTCTTAGAGATAGATGCCTGACTCTTGTTAGCATGTCTTAGACTCTGGCTATCACTGAAACTGCCTATTCCACATCCCTGCTTTTAAAAGCCCCACTCCCCAAAGTGTTACTGATTATGCAGAGGCCTTGAACTTACACTTGAGACATGCTTACAATAATGTTCAGTCCTGCTGATGAAGCAGCAGCAAAAACAAACAGAAACAGATATTATTCTTGAAGCATCAAGGAACCCCGCTCTTCCTCTTCCGCCCTTCCCTGCATTTGGCTTCCTGTTCTTCCATCACCTAAAAGCCTAAGGATTGCTTGAGTGGAGTCAACAGGTGAAGCTAGCTAAAAGAAACAGAAGTTGAGCTCATTAGTGATAGCTTGCTGCTCTCCTTATGCCAGGCAATTCCAATTCTGAAGCAAAACTAGAAACAACCCCTCTGGGTGACATATCTCTTCAGAAGACTCGAGACTGTGTTTTTCCGAGGGGGAAGGGCACAGAAGCTTTAACAGGCATTCTGTAGCCACTGGGAAGTTGGTGTAAGCGCATGGAGGTGTCACTTATTTCTGAGTTTGCATGCTGCCCCCTTCTGGCTTCTATACCCAGGCTTGTCAGCACAGCAACCGCATTTATTTCAACCCTACACCTGTGGAGTACCTGGGACCACAGAAAAGAGTGTTGAAAATGTTCAGGGCATCTCATCACATGTATATCCTTGAGGCTAATCAGAGGAAACAGACTCATTTCCCCTCCGGCTCCTGGTTCTCATTGGAGGCTGCCCACCATCACAGAATCCCACTTCACATTCTTGCGGCGTGAAACATCTCCTTCTCCACCCTCCTAACTCCCACATGGCCCTGGGACTCATCTCTGCAAATTAATAACCCACCAAGGGCTGGTCCTGCTGATGTGCTGGACAGTCAAGGGGATTTTCCTACTAGACGTGGCGGCAATGGCAAATATGCCAAATTGGTGGGTTAGTGTTGCAATGAATGGTCTAAGGACCACGTCTTTTTTTTTTCTTTTAGCCCGATATGTGAGCAGGTTTGGTTTTACACATTATTAAGTCCATGTGTACGATTCTTAGAGACAAGAGAGTCATGTGATAGGAGGAGACGCAGGTAATTGAAGAAGCAGATGCCACCATAGATCAAATTTATAATTACATGTCTTCCTCTTCTAAGCAATTCATCTTACATGCTGGTCCTTTGTGGGACTTGTCAGAAGCCCAATACCGGGCACATTTTCTTGTGCTGAAATAATTCATTACGGGTCTTCTAACTGCTTAACAGGGTCTACCGCTAAGCCCTTGCCTGCCACCTGGCACACATGTTGTCACAGCCCTGGAGCACAAACTGCAGTGTGCCTGGGAGCCTGCAGTGTCTCCCAGTTCACCCTTCACCCAGGCAGACCAGTCGTCTCACACCCGTCGAACCCAGGACTCAACTCGGGATCCAGCACCGTTCTCTTGAATCAGAGAGAGCTATGAGTTATTTTAAAACAGCTAGAGCTAGAGTTATTTTAAAATATTTAAATGCCCATGGTTTGTTTAAATGAGGCTGTACATGGTGTGAGGAAATCTAAAGCTCTGGCTACTATTGGGGGACTTAGAGAGAATGAATATTGGACTACCTCTCTCCATAAACTTGATAGCAGGAAACAGTAGATAATCAAAGCACTGTGTGTACATATATATGCCTATAGTCCCCCGCCGTTATCCATAAATATACCTATATTTGAAAAGCCAGGAATGGATCAGACTATACAAAGTGAATGTATTCAGATTCTCACTTAGTCAATACCAACACACCCAGTATGGCTTTAGAGTTCACTGGCGAGAAGAAATGAGCTATGGAAGACAGACAAAGGCTCCTAATACCTATTAAACTGCCAGGCCTATAGCCTGGCTCAGCTGTACCAGCCTCATAACCTGAGTTTGAGCTCAGGATCCCACTGTGAAAGGACAGAAGTGATTGCCTAGAGTTTTCCTCCAATTTCCATATATGCACTCCCCCACACACACACACTCACATCCCACACCAATACTCAGCACATCTACTGCTTGTCATGACCTTAAAAAAAATGCCCTGTGCGATCGTTCACTTTAGTCAAAGGGCAAACATGTGATATTTTCCTATATCCATGGTAGAGCTATGCACGCATTCTTCTTAATGACGAAAGAACACATTCATCTGATTAAAAGAAAGTGGGTCACTTACATTCTCCATAGTGATATGCAAAGTGAGTAGCTTTCTTATAACTTCCTTATCTTGCTTGGCCAGGCACAAGATGTGGGATAAGGACAGCGCTGAAACTTAGGTGCCACCGAGGGACGAGCCAACTACGAACTGCCAATGAATGGGTCGGCACGACTAGGAAATGTTAGGAACGGACTCGGAGAAGTGCCGTTTAGCTAAGGCACCTGGTTACCTGTACCTGCATGCCATCCTGAAGAGACCCCTACTCTGTATGTTCCCCACACCAAGAAAAGCACTTCTTACAGAAGATGGGGGCCACGAAGGTCAGCCCTTGAGGCCTGCCCCAAAGAGGACCAGCCCTTTATCAGAGTTACTCAGTCCCTTTGGCTTTTCCGGGAAGATGGAACTGATTAAGCAATGTTAATTTAATCATAAGTAATCAACATGGGAAAAAATTACATAACCAACTTCAAAATTGTGAATCAAAGATGGCAAGAAAACCCCAGGAAAATAGCTGTTTTGTCGTCTCCCCTGCTCACACAAAATTTTCACCTCAAAAATAGACAGGGAGAAATCTATAAGTCTGATGATGAAATAAAACCGAACTACGAACCGACATTGCTTGGAAACAGTTATATTTAGTGTAAAGTTCTTCAATTCATATTTTTAACTATTCAGTCCAGGCTGGCCTGGAACTCACAATCCTCCTGCCTCAGTTTCTTGAGTGCTGGGGTCAAATTGTATGTTTTTAACCAAAATTGAGAGAATTTGGAACTCATCCCGTACAGGGTTCTGAAAGACAAACTTGCTTTTAATTCATCAATAAAGGTATAAAGGTAAGAATAATTCGAGTTTGTTTTATAATTGCTGCCTTGTTTCTTTCCTTTTCTCCTTCAGAGAGTCTAAAGGCACAGTGATAGCTCAATCATGGAGGCTATATATCCACTTGGTTACATGCTTAAGAAATCAAGACCATGCCCAAGTCAGCTTTGGTTTCCTGATCAGAGGGAGACATTAACGTAGTAGGTAGGTGAACAATATGCAAAACCTGCTTCCTAAACTATTCCATGATGCTTGACTTGCGATGGGTCACCGTCGATGTAATGAAAATCATCAAGGGGTACCCGCACGACAATTTGTAGGTACTGGTGTTATTTTACAAAGAAAGATCACGGTGGAGTTTAAAGGTCTCTGTTTTCCACCTACGCAGAATCCAGTAGGTTAATCTACCTGGCGGTCACAGCCATGCACAAACAACGTGACTAACTACCCGGGAGAACTCAGGAGGGCTTTCACTCCGCGCCTCTCTGCGTACCAGCCCCACAGACAGACGTGAATCCACCTTAGTTGCCTTGGGAAGGCAGAAGACAGAAACCTGTGCGCGTCAGATCACTCGTGACAAGCCACTTACCTGCAATGACTGGATGGAAGCCTCCTCCTGGGGTCCCTTGTGCGTCTCCTTGTCGCTCTCCTCTGTGTGACTGACACGAACCACAGCGGGGCGTGCACAGGATCGCCTGGGGCGGCCGCAGCCTGGTTCCGCAGGAGACCCGGGAAGCAGCGCGGGTGTGTGCGGAGCAAACTGAGCCTAGCGGAGCGCGCAGAGGGCGGAGCGCGTCCCGGCCGCGCCTGCAGATGTGGAAGGAGCTGGAGACAGCGCTGAGTCCTCTGGGCGCTGCGCTGCGTGGGGATATTATCACAGACTGGGATTTCTATTGGCTCGGAACACCAAACAAATCACACCAGCCACCCCCTCCTTCTCCGCTTCACTCAGCTCTTGATTCTCTTCAAACCCACAAACATTGCAGCCACACACACACTTCAGTCGCTCGCCCTGCTTCTCCCTTCTTCTTTGCAGACTGGGGATTTACAACCTTGTGGGCAGCGCTTCACATTTTGTTTAGCAGACTTCCAATGCAAAGCTTATCATGTAGAGAAGAAATTCACCATTCTCTTGGCCCGCAAAACCCACTCATGCCTTCAGATCTCCCTTTTAGATGGACTCAAAATGTGAAAATGTGAAGAAGGCAGAAACACACACACACACATTCGCAGGCACGTCTGCACGCACGCACACGCGCACACAGAACCAGGCTCCTTTTGTTTTGAGTAATTGAGGCTGGAGAAATTAAAGGCAAGCTGAACCCAATGGTCAAAAGTGAGTTTAGCTAATCATAAAATTTTGAATGAATTCAGTGTAAAATATCCAACGTTTGGATTTGTTTTCTCTTCCACATACTGCGTTAGTCATTATTATCCCCCCTTTCTTTCCTTTGTGAATGCAGACATCTCTCATAGGAATCAGACTCTTCAGCATCCAGAGAATGTAGACCGGTTTTTGTATACTTGGGCTGGGCATGCAAGACCAAGACACCGTGATGCTAGCTGAAGGTTGGCTTCTTTTCTGCGGGATCATTTGGTCTCCCTGATCTCTTCAGCAAAGAAATTCTGTGTGACTCTACTGACAAAGGTTCCTGGGTGAAAAATTCTCATCTGCGTATGTGCACAGAAATAAACCTTTGCCCCCCCCCCCCTCAATTGAGAAAAGGCCCAAGGGGAATTCTGGACCTTAGTTGCTGAGCTGGGAGAACTAAAATAAAATAAGGTTTTACTGTATTTTATAAAACACTGGCGAGTCTCCAATGGTCTTTCCTCCCCAGTAAGTTTCAGTGATGCTCCTGGAGATTTGAATGACAGTTTTCTCGGCAGAAACCACGGAGCTCCGTTTTGATTTTTGACTTGACAGCTTCTTTCCCAGAATTGTTCATTTCTGTTTACCTTATTAAAACCTGACAGTCTTGCTTCAGCCAACTCAGAGCATAATCATTTCAGAATCATGGAAAGCAAGAAGTTTTTGAAATTTGTTACCAGCAAGCATCTTACCTGCTTTCTCTTCACCTTTGGACGCATTTTAAGAATCCTGACCGGCAAGGCTGTTTTTCAGAATGGATCAACCTAGAGTCATCCAAGAATTGCCAGAGTTTTCAGGGGAAGAAAAAGAAGAACCAAGCGCCTTGCTGAAGGCGAGAGCACGCATAACTGAAGATGAGGCGACCGCTCTCCCGTATGTTATCTTGGAGTTACCAAACCAAAGGAAGCTAAAAGAGTTAACACAGCAGATTCTCACCACTGCCCACCCTTTGCCCAGAAAAGCTAAAATCATGGACTCAAATACCTAACCTGATAGTCATTCTACCCATTATTATAGGACTGGTCATATATGCAAATAATTTATCAACCCCTCATTTTTGAGTTGCCTTTCAGCATGAATACAAATAGGGATCACCCACAAGTAATGATAAAATAACAAGAGTAATAGTAACCAATAAAGCAAGTTGTTTTATGTTGCTTGTTATATTCAGGGATCATTATAGCTTTTCATATCACTAGAAGGACAGTGTCAGTGGAGTCATAAATAATGTAAAGGCACAGATAAGGTGACTATATGCTTAGAACTTGGAAGGCCAAGGCAGGAGGACCTTGAGTCCCAGGCTTGCCTGGGCTACATATCAAAACCTTGCTACTCTCTGTCCCAAACCAAAAACAAAAAAAGAAAAGAAGAAAGAAAAAAGAAAAGAAAGGAGGAAGGGACAGAGGAAGAGAGGGATTGAGGGAGGGATGATGGAAGGAAGGAAGGAAGGAAGGAAGGAAGGAAGGAAGGAAGGAAGGAAGGAAAGTGCACAGATAAATCTTCAATTTCCTTTCAGGTAATATTTCAAGTTTCCCTTTCTTGCAGTTAATGAAGAGCAAAAGCCGATGATTTAAGGGGCACTACTTATGCCTAATCAGTTATGCAATTAGTGAAAAATAAATCAGTATATATTCCTTACTCTGCTGATCATTTACTACTTTAAAAGACAGTTTTTCCCCTAAGATAATCCCCATATGCTACAGTTCATTAAGCCTTACTTGTTGTAAATGGCATGGACATTAGCACAAATAAAACTCTTGTGTCTTGGTAGGAACAATAATGAGGAGGCTGCAGCGCAGGTTAAGGACCAAGCACTCCTATTTTATTTTCTACTCTACTTTGCTGTTACCCTCTTTATTTCCATATGCGATGCTATTTTTTAAAAACAAAACAAAACAGGAGACCTTCAAGACTTGGCATGCATCCAAGAGAGCTGCCGATAAGAAAGTGATTATGTATGCTACAATTTATAAGGGATACTGCAGAGCTCGGGGGCGGTCCCGTCTTGGGGATAGAACTTGTGGCAAAGCAATAGCATGTTTTCAATTATTAAAAATGGGGGAACACACTTACAATCCGTGTAATGTTTTAAGTGTATTGTCATTTTTACCAATATCTCCTTTAGGTGTGTGTGCATGCATATGTATGTTCACACTGAGGGTGCAGAGGTGTATGAATGAGTGTACATATGTGTGCATGTGTGCATGCATGCACATTGGAGTCCGAGTCTCACCCAACAGGCTAGGCAGGTGACACCTAGGGCTTCTCTCCCACTGTGATCTTCCACACTGGGCACTGGGATAATTACAAGTCTGCACTACTTATCTGGCCTTTCTTTTTGTTTTTCTTTCTTTCTTTTTTTTATTTACAAGGGTGCTGAAGATCAAATTTAGGTCTTTGAGCTTTCCCAGCAAGCACTATTGCCACTGAGCTGTCCTGAATTACATCCCGAGTCCATTCATTAGTGTTTTCTTGTTTGAGTCTTTAGGGGCCTTATGTAAACCACAGGTAAACATTTAGACCTGACCTGGTCATGTTCATGGTATGAAAAGATGGGGGAAATTTTAAATGGGCACCAAGCCTTGTGTTCTTCTTAGGCGAAAAACAAACAAAAGTAATGGTAGACTACATTCACACAACTGAGAGGCTTCTTACAGTTAATGTTTTCAGCAGCCCTTTTAGAAAGGATGCTGTCTGGGGCAACTGAAGATTTTGATGTAAGTGACTGATGGGTCAGGAAAGGACTCAGCCATCTAGAGATTATGAAAGCATTGCTAGAAAGTCAGACAAGGCAGCCTAAGGTTTATTTCAATCTGAAGATATCTGTGACTCTATCATTGAACTTAAATAGTACTAAGGAGTATACTATTTCATTGAGTGATTTTCATATCAATAAATCTAAAAAGTTTACAACTTGTGATCTAAGTAGGTGTAGTCATGGGGTACAGATGATTATTGATGGCATTTTGCCTTTCTTAGGCAATATTTATGTGTTCTTTGAGGAACACACACACACATATATACATATATATTATACACGTATATAATTTATAACTCTGCTATACAAAGAGAGGAAAGGGTCGTGTGATCAGGAAACTGAAGATGAACTTCACATTGCTAGTGTTAAACTTCACTTTTGGAGCTTGTCTGTTCCTGCTCAGCTATACACTAGATGTTTTCTTTTCTTTTCTTTTTTTTTTTTTTTTTTTTAAAATTTTCGAGACAGGGTTTCTCCGTAGCTTTTGGTTCCTGTCCTGGAACTAGCTCTTGTAGACCAGGCTGGCCTCGAACTCAGAGATCCACCTGCCTCTGCCTCCCGAGTGCTGGGATTAAAGGCGTGCGCCACCACCACCCGGCCTAGATGCTTTCTTAATGATAAGAATAACCCCTTTCTTTCTTTTTATTAATCAAAAACTTTCTTTTCATCTATACATTTCTTGATGCATCCATAAATGGTGGCCTACTCCTTTTATAGCTATAGATACCATCCTTAGATTATCATAGATGCTTAAGTCTAAACTTGTTAAAATCCTTTCAATATGGAAAGCTTTAAAATCTTAATTTACTGGTTAATACGTGTTTATTCCTCCTTCAGATAGAAATCTTTATCTTATAGAATACCATCAACATTTTTGTCGATGTTCTGTTTAGACCCAACTCTAAAGGAAATACTTATGATTCACTGAAATATATGAAAAGAGTATACACACATATACATTATATATATGATTTTCAACTGATAAATCTATAGGATAGAATTTATTGCTCTTGTGTCACAACATTCCTGCCCAAATGTGTACAAGTGATTTATAAGACTTTTATAGGAAAAACTACAGCCCCTGCTCTGTTTCCAAATGAGCTCTTTGGCCAAGAGAGTACCATCTGTCACATCTGTGTCACCCCAGCAGAGCAGAGAGCACAGCCCACAGATGAGCTTGGGAAATTAAAAGGAAAGGAAATGACCACATATTCAGCTGAAGCCCCCTATTCTCCCTTAAGACCCAGGGAGCAGGTGGCCATGGGTTCTTCTGACTCATTAGTCCATGTTTATTAGATGTCATCAAAGTCTTTGCATTGTATTCTTGGTTCTGAGATATGAACAGGAAGGGATGAAGTGGTTGAAATCAGAGCAGAAAGCCACCTTTGGCTTATTGTGCTGTTGTGTAAACAGTAAATTCATGCAATATAAATAAAATAAAATTTGAAAACTATGTCTATTTAGCAGAATCAAACTGCCCTTGAATTCATATACCTCTACCCACGGATCAGTGCAGCTCTCAGACCCCCACCAGAGGAGTTTCTCTGTTCAGCAAATGATAGTTAATGCAGACGCAACTGGTAAAAGCACAGAGTACAGATGTTAATGGAGCTCAGGCAGAATAGGACATCTGTATCAGATCCTCTCTTCAAGGCTCAGGAACCCTTGTAGAAGTGAAGGCTTAAAGATTGCGAGATCTGGAGGTTAGAGCAAGGGGAATGAG